TTCTGGCGTGATGAGAGGATTCAACTAGACAGAGTGGGGAGCAGAATAGGCAGACTGACAAAGTACACTGCTGGGGGGAGCAGGAGAGGTCTGTTGTGCCATGTGGAGTATCTCCCCTGGGGATTGAACTTGCACTGAAAAGGTTGTACTAGCTTCCAGTGTTATGCTTTTACCCATTTCGCCACCAGGGAGGGCCCAAGAAAAACAGTTTTGGAGTGGGAAAAAAGGTTCAGCTGAGGCAGACATGAGAAGAATTCAGCAATATATGCTTTTTGGAATTCACTGAAGATTTGTGCTAGAATAAAGGTTCGGGAGTTACATAACCATGGCAAATAAAAACTAACAATCATAAATGATCCCCCAGGAGAGCATGCAAAACATGAAAAAGTATTCAGGACAGATTCTAATAAACACCAACACCAATATTTAAAGGGCAGGAACTTAAAAGAATCATGTCATAAAATGTTAAACTTAATGCAGCTGTAGAGTATATTTCTTAAAAGACTTTCTTTTTTTAATTGCTTTACACCCACTACTTCTTTTCTTCCCTCTCTTAGCAACAGCAGTTGTGGGCTTATCTCTCTTTTACTGTCCTCTTCTCAGTTTCGCTCATCAGGTCAACAGCAGGGACTGTAAAGAATTTTCCAGTCTGCATTACAGGTTGTGGTGAAAAACACTACTGAATCCAACTCCCTTAAATTTTCAGGTGAAGACATTTGAGGACAAGACTAGACCAGACTTACACAATTCTTAAGCAAAAATACTGTACATTTAAACACTACCCAACCCATGATGCCTTTAAAGTCAATCTTCAGGAAAAGAAACACACTTGAGAACAATTAAAAACACTTACTTAATTTCAATGAGCATATATGTAATACAAAGAGCAAATGCTCCAGCAAGATCAATCAAAACAAATGGATTCATCCGGGGAAGGAAGATGCTGCTAAGTCCTGGAATAATTCCACACAAACTAAAAAAACAAACAAACAGAAAACCCCAGTAGTCATTATGAGAATGCTTAAACGCAATATTGATAAAAATCTTGTAGACAGTAACTTTTATTTTAGTATTATGTATTTTTTAAAGAGGATTCAGGGGGAAAAGCTCTCAATCATAAAGGTCTCTGATATCATGCATTAAAAAGTAAAGGAATTGGGCCCTCCCTGGTGGCAACGGGTTAAAGCACAGCACTAAGAAGATAAAGCACTTCCGCATGAGTTCAATCCCTGCCTTGGAGGTGATCCACATGGCACAGCAGACCTCTCCTGAGCAGCCCACTGCTCCCCTCAGCAGTGTACTTTTTCAGTCCGCCTGTTCTGCTCCCCACTCTGTCTCTGGTGAATCCTCTCACCCCCTGCACCTCTGGCCTATACCCCAGTTCTGTATGCATAAATAAATCTTTAAAAAAAAGAAAAAGGAAAGGAATTTAAGAATATGGTCGGGGAGATTCGTGTAGTAACTTCAGCAATAAGCAATGTTAAGTTCCCACGATAAGTGCATTTCTCATACATTCCTTTTAGATTATGTAATTTATGTAAATTATGGAATTCCATAACATCTTACCTGCGGCTAAGATCTGCAACATGCTCTTGAAGCCAACTTGTAGTAGCAGCTTTAAGAAGAAAATACTTAAATTATCTAAAGAGAAGAATAAACCACTACCAGATATACTTGATATATTTAACTTAAAAAAAAAAAAAGTAATGACTGCATAATGTTACAAAGGACAAGCTACTTCTCAAATCTAGAACTTTTTCCTCTTATGCCTCTGAGGTACTAAATCAAAAGGAATTTCAATTTACAGCTGACTTTAAAAAAGCAGTGGAGGCCCTCCCTGGTGGCTCAGCGGGTTAAAGCACAGCACTGAGAATCTAAAGCCGCTTTCGCATGAGTTCGATTCCCGCCTGCCCCGGAGGTGACCACATGGCGTGGCAGACCTCTCCTGACCCGCCCGCTGCTCCCCTCAGCAGTGTACTTCGTCGATCTGCCTGTTCTGCTCCCCACTTTGTCTCTGGTGAAACCTCTCACCGCCCCTGAACCTCTGGCCTGTACCCCGTTCTGTATGCACAAATAAATAAATCTTTTAAAAAAAAAAAAAAAAGGCAGTGGAATTACACATGTATTTGCTAGTTAAATAGATTTTTGGAGTGGCAGTTGGACGGAGACCCCCAGAGCTGTTGAGGCAATGCTTAGCAGTGGTGGCAAGGGCTTGCTGGGGACAGGTAAGCTGGGCATTGCACCTCATAACAAGGATCCTTTAGAAATCACTTGAGACTTTGAGATCACAGACCAATTATTCAAGGTGAAACCTGTTAACTTCTGAGAGACTTTGAAGAGAAGCATGGTCTTAGAGAAATGCACATATTTAAAAATCTCAAGAATATGACCCAGGAGACCACTGACCAGGCCGTTCCCAGATGCCAAGAGGCAAAGGAGTTCAGCCTGAGTCTCACTGTGCAGACACAGCCAGCAGCTACGAATTCAGACTACTGACTGCAACAGAGTGAGCAGGTACAGGAAAAGGTGCCAGAGAGTCAGAACCAAACAATGGCAGTTTTGATACACTCGTCATATGAAATGGTTATCTGCTGAAAGAGGCATTACTACTTGGAAATTACAAGAATAAAATGAAGGATCTTTGGAGACTTGAATATCCCAGCTTGGGGAAGGTTTGCTTTGCTTTGCTTTTCAAGAGACAGGCACTAATTGACTGTACGGTTGCACATCAGCAAAGAATTTCCAAATGGGCTATTAATAAAATAAACTACTACTGCAGGGGCAATGGAGGGGCTTGCATTTAAGGGGGAAAAACAATCAATTTTAACCAGTTTTTTATTCCTGTTCTGAAAATTTATACTAGAAATGAATGAGAAATGCAAAAAATTTGATACAAAGAAGCTGATTATAACATTATAAAAAAAGAAAAAGCTGGAAATGTATGAAAATAATGTAGCCAGACAAGGGCCCTTCCTCGTGGCCCAAGGGGTCAGAGCACAGCCCTGTGAGGTTATCCACAGTCAAGTTCTATCCCCAACCAGAGAGGTGGCCCACTTGGGGTGGCTGACCTCTCCTATCTTGCTAGCTGTTTCCCTCAGCAGTGTATTTCAGAAGATCTGCCTTTCTGCTCGCCACTTTGTCTCTGGTGAAACCTCTTAGCCCCTGGCACCTCTGGCCTACACCCCAGCTCTTGTATGCATAAATAAATAATTTAACAACAACAAAATAAACTTGAACGCGTATTTCAAAAGTTTTATTTTCAATTGTCCTGGAGTTCAAGTCAGTGAGGAAAAAAAAAAGACCCTCCAGAAGCCTGCCTGGTGGCGCAAGGGGTTAAAGCGCAGCACTGTGGAGCTGTCCACAGCCACTCCAGCACATTAATAAATCTTTAAAAATAAAATAAAACATCAATAATTTAGACCACTAAAGTGAAAGATCAACCTCAATTTGTAAAGACTTGAAATAAATTATTTCAAAAGAAAGCCTTAAAACTTTCAAATGCATGCCCACCCAGAGAGGGAAATTCTTTAATTACTAAAATACAACTGCTTGTAATGAGAACATCAATTATTCTTATCACATATCAGTCCTGCCTATTTTTAAGTACTATTTTTTATAACAGTTTATTTTTACATCATTTTGTACATTTTTCCCATCTCAATTGTAATCCCCGCGGGTTTCCAATCACCATGTCACCCATGTGCCATCACCATAATTCCGTGCACCCCCCTGTTTTTAAGTACTATTTTAAAGTCTGAATTAATTAGATTTTGCTTTATAAGCCCTACATGGAGAAAACCTGAGAAACATCGGGGTAGTTCTCACTTCTCTTTAGTATACACTTTCTTATTGATTTATGATTTTATGAAATGAACAAAAGACATTTGTTTGAGAGATAATTGGATTTTTTTATAAATGGTAAATTAAACATACCTTCAGAGACATAAGCAAAAGGTTTATTCCGAATAGAAAGCATTGTGAACAGGTTGAAAGAAAGAGCCACAAAAGTACCAACTAGTAATCTTCCCCTAAAAAGAACAACAATAATATTCAGCCTTTTCTTTTTTTGTAAAATCACCATGCGTTTTTAGCATGTAGACAAACTAAGAGATGAGAAAGCAGAGGGTCAGCTTCAATGGTTTACTACTTGAAGAACTTGAACCTGAACTTGGCTTCTATCCTCAAAACCTGTATTATCCACTATTGCTTCATTTTACACAGGACAAAAAAACAACTTTGGCATTAACAACATCTTATAGATAAAGGAAAAAACTGCTTTGGTTTATAGTACACTGAACAGTTTACAGTGTCCTGAATTTAGTACAGATAAAGTCAACACAACTAGCAACTAGGAGGTAGATAAAACCACACCATATTTCCTATCAGAGTTACTAAAAAGCTTTGGGGAGCAAAATTTAAATTACAGAAGACCACAGAGGACTGGTTTAGTGTGTTGATTTCAATAACGAGGGATCTGAAGTCAGGGTAGAAAGGCTGTCCCTATATAGGCCTGGTGGCACAAAGGGGTTAAAGTGCAGCACTATGAATCTATACACAGTCACTGCGGCACTAGTTCAATCGCTGGCCAGGTTGCTGACCCACATGGTGCAGCAGACCTCTCCTGTCAGCCTGATGCTCCCCTCAGCAGTGTGTTTCAATAAATCTGCCTGTTCTGCTCACCACTGTGTCTTTGGTGAATCCTCTCACCCTTGCATCTCTGGTCTGTACCCCAATTCTTGTATGCATAAATAAATTAAAAATAAAAAAAGGACATTCAGGGTTTACTAACAGTTAAGAGTAATAGAGCTCAGTATTTGGATATTCTCTTTGTGAAATACCAATGAAATATATATTGCCACTTTCTGAACTCTGATATTGGTCAAAGTAACGTTTAATAATAAAAGGCTATTTATAATTTATGAATCATAAACCTTTTAACAACTTATTAATTAATGTTATATTCAAAGCAAAACCTCACGTGTGTATCTCAGGCTGCTCCAAAAAGCGTTCTGCACTAAAAAAAAAAAAAAGAAATAATGTATTAAATGAATCCTATAAAATATAAAATTAAAATGACTTATAAATATAAAAGGTGAACGGAACATACATAGGAAAAAATGTACCCCCATAAATTATATTAAATTTTAAACACTCAGTTAAATATAATTAACCCAATTAAGTTCACAAAATCTTTTAATATGGAACCTCCCTGGTAGCCTAGGGGCTAAGTCTCAGTTCTATCACTGCTGTGGCCCAAGTTCAAACCCCAGCCAGGGAACTAACCCACACGGTGCAGCAGACCTCTCCTGTCTGAGCTGCTGCTCCGCATAGCAATGTATTTCAGTAGATATGCATGTTCGGTTCCCCACTCTGTTGCTGGTGAATTCTCACTCCCCTCACCTGTGGCCTATACCATAGTTCTTCTATGGAAAAATTAACTAAAATGAAAAAAAAACTTAATATGATAACTGAAACATAAAGAAATTATATCATCAAATTCTAGCACTGTTCATCTTAATTTGTATACCCTTAAAACGTGACATGTTCTTATAGGATTCTTTAATATTTCCAAAGGTAGAATAAGTGTAATAAACAATGAAAATCATATCAAATACAACTGTACCTTTCTTTTAATATAAAGAGAGCTCCCAACTGTGCCAAGACTGTGGAAGCAAATACAGCTAGAACTTCTAATCTTTCAAATCTGAAATAAAAAAAAAAATTAATTAGGTCAGCATAATTCTTCTCCAAACCAGTCTCCCCAGAACAAACATTGATTAATTTACTCACTCAACATACTGTGTGCCTACTATAAATAAAACATTGTTGGAACACACTGCAGAATTTCTAGGATGATAATAAACAATGAAAAAATTTTAAAAAGTGCCTGTTTGATGATGGTGACGGCACACTGGTGATGGCACACAGGTGATTTGGTGATGGAAAGCCCACGGGGACTACAACTGAGATGGAAAAAGGCACAAGATGATGTAAAAATAAACTATTATTATTATTTTTTAAAAGTGCCTGTTTGTAGAACACATATTCCCAGAATCCAGCTATGACTCATATTTTCTAGACATAGCCATTATTATAACTATCACTAATTCACAAGTTAAAGTTAAATAGGTCAAAGTACTTAATATTTATCTCATCTAAATATTCCAACTTCTTATGAATGCTACTTTATCAACTTTTTTTAAATGATTTTTAAAAAAGATTTACTTATGTATACAGAATGGGGTACAGGTCAGAGGTGTTGGGGTGGTGAGAGGATTCACCACATACAGAGTGGGGAACAGAACAGGCAGATTGAGGAAGTACATTGCTGAGGGGAGCAGTGGGAGAAACAGGCCAGGTCTGCTTTGTCACGTGGTCACCTCCCTGGCAGGGATCAAACTCTCGCTAAGTGGCTGTGGCTGTGCTCCAAGCCACTGTGCTTTCAGGGAGGGCCCACTTAATCAATTTGTTTTTTTAAAGATTTATTTATTTATTCCTACAGATCTGGAGTGCAGGCCAGAGGTGCAAGGGCAGTGATAGGATTCCACCAGAGACAGATTGGGGAGCAGAATAGGAATATGGAAGAAGTAGACTGCTGAGGGGAGCAGCAGGCAGGTCAGGAAAGGTCGGTGGTGGGGTCAGGGATTGAACTGGCACTGAAGCAGCTGGCTTGCTTGCAGTGCTGAGCTTTAACCTGCTGTGCCACCAGAGAGGGCCTTATCAAACTTTTTTCTTTTTCTTTTTTTTTTAAGAGATTAAAAAAAAACACAAAGAGAGAAAGTACAAATTTAAAGTCATTTAATTAGTAAGTAGAAATGTCAGATTTTTAAACTCAAGCACTATGGCTCCAGAGTTCGTGATTTCTTTTTATCTTTTTTTAAGATCTATTCATTTATGCATACAAGAACTGGGACACAGGCCAGAAAAGGATAGGGAGCTGAAGTAAGGGGAGGGTGAGAGGATTCATCAGAGACAGGATGGGGATCAGAACAGGCAGATCTATTGAAACTCATTGTTGAGAAGAGCAGTGGACAGGTCAGGAGAGGTCTGCTATGCCATGTAGGCCAGCACCCTGGCTGGGGATGGAACTCATGCTGCAGTGGCTATGGACAGCCTCATAGCGCTGCACCTTAACCCTTGCACTACCAGGGAGGGCTCCAAGAGTTCGTGATTTCAGTTGCTTATTATATAGTCTCTCACTTCTACACATAGCTGCAGTTAATTATAAATATGCCTTATGGGGTGGATCCAAACAGAGCACTGTTGGAGCCATTAGACATAAGATATGGGACAATCTGGTATGGCAACCTCTCATGTGAGCTCCATCTACAATATCTCCAATGGCTGGGGAACCAAACCCCTCGCTCAGAGATGTGTGCAATGTGAGTGAGGCTTCTCCTTTTCCAAGCTGGGGATGAAAATTCAGAAATGTGACTGGGACTGGAAACCATAAAAGGAGATGAGTGGTGATAGACTGTCCACCTGCTTGATCTGTCCCCACTGGTTGGCAGTTTGGTTTCTAAGGCCAGAATTACAAAGCTCATATGTATCATATGACAGGCATCGGACTGGATGGGACAATCAGTGTGAATGAAGAGACATGGAACCCAGAGACCATACTGGGCTGGAGAAAATACATAGCTTCTTATTCCAGAGGATGTTCCCAAAACAAAAAATATGTAGAGCCACTTACATACCTACCCCACAAGAGGTTCCTGGAGTGCACTAACTTGCTAACTGCCTCCAAAGCTGTTCCTGGGGACTTAGCAGCCTAGTCTGCTGCAGTTGAGGAACACAGGTCCTCTCCCAGGAAAAGGAGATGGTTCCAGAAAAAGGACAAGGTTACAAAAACAGGCCAAGGTCATGGGCAAAAAGGATGGTTCTAGAGCATGCAGCGAGGAAGGAGTGATAGGAGCAGGAAAGCAGAGTGGTTCAGGAGTATAGTATGGGTGGGAGGGCTACACCAAAGGGGAAGAGTAGTTACATAAGATAACCAAAGATATAATAAAATGAAAATAAAGATAAAAATTATGAATGTCGTATAATCCCAAAACTATCAGCTAAAGGAACTGCTGCTTTATTATATACTGTCATCCCATTTATGTGTGTGTGTATTTACATATATATGACTTTTAAAACAGGTAACACTAGCTTTGTGTGATGTCTCTTTAAAGATATAATCGCATAGTGTTTCTCCCACCTTTTCTTCTAGATATTTTATAGTTTCAGGTCTTATGTTTAGTTCTTTAATCCATTTCGAGTTGGTTTTTGTGAATAGTGCGAGGTAGTAATTTAGCTTCATTTTTTTGCACATAGCAACCCAATTTTTTCCAATACCATCTGTCAAACAAACCTTGTCCCCTTGCATAATTTTTGTCCCTTTGTCGAATATTAGCTGTCCATAAACCTATTGGTTTATATCTGTGTTTTCTATTCTAATCCCCAGTCTATATGTCTAGTCTTGTTCCAGTACCATGCAGTTTTGATTATTATGGGTTTGTAGTACAGCTTGAAGTCTGGGAGTGTGATGCCCCTGTTCCCTTTCGTTTTAGTAAGGAGAGTTGGCTATTTAAGGTTTTTTGTGGTTCCATATGAAGGAAAGTATAAACAGCTGAGACTATATCAAGTTAAAGAGTTTCTATACAGCAAAAGAGTCATTCCATAAAACAAAGAGACACTTCATTGATTGGGAGAAAATAGGTACACACAATACTAATGACAAAGGACTGATTAGAAAGATATAAAAAGAGCTGATGAAACTCAACAAAAATAAAGTGAACAACCCAATCAAAAAAATGGGCAGAAGAGCTAAAAAGACACTTCTCCAAAGGGGAGACAAAGACGGCCAACAGGCACATGAAAAAATGTACATCATCACTTGTAATAAGGGAAATGCAAATTAAAACCACAATGAGATACCATTCACACCAGTAAGAATAGCACATATTAAAACAACTAGTAACAACAAATGTTGGCAAAGAGCTACACTGCTGGTGGGAATGCAAACTGGTGCAACCACTATGGAAAGCTGTTTGGAGGGTTCTCAAACTGCTAAAAATAGAGCTTACATATCCAGTAATCCCACTCCTAGGTATCCATCCAAAAGATACCTACACCCCCGTGTTTATTGCTGCTCTATTTACAATAGGGAAGATGCGGAATCAACCCAAATGCCCCCGAAAAGATTGTGTACATATACACACTGGAATATTATTCAGCAATCATAAAAGATAAACACATGCCTTTTGCAGCAACATGGATGGAGCTGGAAGGGATCATGCTTAGTGAAATAACCCAGAAAGAAAAGGAAAAATACCAGATGGTTTCACTCACAGCAGGAGCATAAGGGGGGGGGAACAATTGTAATAAAGTAAAAATAAAAATAATGAACTATAAATCAGAGACATTTTACAGAGATAGAAAGGGAATTAGGATCAAAACTGGGGTGGGGGCCCCTCCCTGGTGGTGCAGCCGTTAAAACACAGTACTAGGAAGCTAAAGCCACTTCAGCATCAGTTCAATCCCCGCCCCACCCCTCCCGCAGAGGTGACCACATGGTGTGGCAGACAGCTCCTAACCTACCCACTGCTCCCCTCAGCAGTGTACTTCCTCAGTTGGCCTATTCTGCTCCTCACTCTGTCTCTGGTGAATCCTCTCACTGCCCCTGCACCTCTGGCCTGTACCCAGTTCTGTATGCACAAATAAATAAATCTTAAAAAAAAAAAAAAAAAAAAAAATGGGGTGGGAAAAGAGCATCACTATGGTGATGGCACACAGGTGAACTAGTGTTGGGAAGTCCACAGGACTACAACCGAGGTGAAAAAATGCACCAAGTGAAGAATGATGAAAAAAAAGAGAAAGACAAAAAAACCAGGCAACAGTAATTTGCATGACAGAGATTAGGATAGTTAGGACTTAACTGAGCTGATATCAAGGGATGCTTCTGGGATACTTGTCAGATTTTTTATTATTTTCTAGGTAGTGGTTATATAAGTATATATATATTTTTTAATTCATATAACTGCTCACAGATAAAAGACAGAATAAGATATAGTCCCCAATCTTGTGAAATTTGTATTTTTAAGAGGGAAATGGAATAATGAACAACTTATAAATTCTGATAAATGCTGTACAGGAAATTATAGTAGTCTGATATGACAAGAGTAACCAGGTAATATATTTTAGCAACAAATTGGACCCAATCAATAATGACATTAGCATTTAGTGATAGTAAGATAAGAATAACAACATGAAGTTCATCTTGCAAATATCATCAGGTGCAGAACATTTCTAACAGAGAAAACAGCTTGAGCAAAGATCCTAAGGAAGAAACTAATTAGTTGGGTTCAAATTGCAAAAGACAGTATGTATAGAGGGCATGGAAGCAGTAACTTGAGGTAAGCAGAAGCAGGACTTTATTCTAACTATAATGGGAAACAACTGGGTGGTTTTAAGGAGAAGCGTGATGATAACACTATTTAACTTCCAAAAGAAACACTCTAGGTACCTACTGATTTTAGGAAAGTCACAGTAGAGAAATGGAGATGGAACAGCAGACATCTGACCCGCCCACTGCTCCCTTCAGCAGTATATGGCAGTCAATCTCTCTGTTCTGCCCCCCATTCTGTCTCTGGTGAATGCTCTTAAACCCTGCCCCTCTGGCATGTACTCCAGTTCTCGCACATGTGAATAAATAAAAATAAACCCTTTTAAAAAATTAATAAAATAAAATTTCATGTTTATTCTGTCCTACTGTTTCCTTGAATCTGAAAGGAACTCATTTTTCCCCAATATATTTTTAAAGCCTTTATATAAAGCATTATCTTTCAACTTGCAGTAATTCTCAAAACCACAAAAACAGAAATGCCAGATTCTATTAGTCAACTACTACCTCAAATCTAGTCCTATGAAAAAGCTCATGTCTACTATAACACTAATGTTAAAATATAACACATTTACTCTAACATCTCAAAGATATACTTACATGAAAATCCTTTGTACCAAATCCTTTGTACAGCACTTATTTTCTAGAAATACTGTAGCCACTTCTTTTTTACTTAACATAGCTACTATTGTAATAGCAAAAAATTAGCAGAAGAACTGTAATTTTAACTTACCCAAATGAATAGACTGGACTAGGTTTCCTCATCATGACCCAGTAACTTATTAAACAAGTCATTAAACTAAGTAAAAAAGCAAATTTAGCATTAGAACAGATAGAAGAGAATATACAGGAGAAATTAAGTTTTCAGAATTCCTAAGAAATTATCATTGTTTTTACAATGTAAGTTAATGGCAAAGTTACTTTAATAATTTATATCTAATAATTTATAATCAAATCACAAGCATGCTAACACATGAGTTTTAATGTAAGGAGACATTGAAATAAGTTATGACACATCAGAAAGGACCTAACCAGTATCTTCTCTACTCAGTAAGTTATCCAACCTAGTTTGCATAAATGAGCATGCAAAAAATGATGCAGCAATAGTAATGGCAATATATTTTATTTTAGGCATATACAAATACATTTTAACTTTAATAAACTTTACTTAATCATTCCTAAAGTGAAAACATTCTGGGTAAGATAAAATTATGTTCATTTTCTAGTGGAGAGTAAATGTAAAACAACTGACTATAATGTGAAATTCAGGTAACAACTGTTTTAAACCACTCAAGTAGATTTAACTTTGTGACTGGATAATACGACATCCTTATAACAACATACTCCTGTAGCAAGTATCTTAGTCTAAGTACTATACTACTCTTACAAGGAAATATGAAAAATCCATGAAGCCAGGAGTCAATAGGTTGTCTCTGTAACAATTAACTTACTTTGCAGTTATTATTGACCCTTATTTCTTTTCCTTTCTGCACAGGTAGAGTGGAAATTGGCATGTTTTGAAATGGCCTTGCTCCCTGGCCATACCTAACTTCCATAGATGCACAGGCATCTGAAGCACCTGAATTAACGCGCAGGTATTTTCTTTTCTGTCACTAAGTAAATGGGATATTTTGTGTCAGTAAATCTTCTAATTGCTGTTCTGTATATATATTCTGTTGACAATTTTGCTCAGTTTGAAGATTACGCTCCTGTAAGCAACGAACACTACACAAATTCAGTACAATAAATTCCTTATTAAACTCAAAATGTTAAGATTTTTAAAAACTTACCTAAAAAGATCAAAAATGGTCAGGTAAGTATAGGCAGTTAAAGCTGCAGAGCAGTAAAAACACTGATTAAAATGTTACTGAATCTATGGTTAGGATTATCACAATAGTAATAATTACTATTAAGTTTTCATTATTCCTAAATTGCAGAATGTTATTGTTTGTACAAAGTTATTAATACCAATTTACTCTAATAATTTATAATCTAATCACAACAAACATTCTAACATATGGCAGTTTTCATATAAGGAGACATATTAAGTCAGCAAAATTGTTCATACCAGTGTATAACTAAGAAAACAAAATTATGAATCACTGATAAAGCTCATATGTTGTGAATGTGATTAATATATTAAACAAATGGGCTATATAAGAAGAAAAATGAAGTAGGGTCTCCCTGGTGGGTAGGGATTAGATCTCAGCACTACCATGCTCTCACTGCCTGAGGCCTGAGTTCGACCCCTGCCTGCAGCCTGAGTTCGATCCCTGCCATGCTGCTCTCCTCAGCAGTGTACTTTTGTCAGTCAGGTCTGTTTTGTTCCCCACTCTGTCTCTGGTGAATCCTTTCACCCCTGCACCTCTGGCCTACACCCCATTTTTTCTATGCATAAATAGATGAAAAAAAATCTTAAAAATAAAGAAAAATGAAGCTATATATGTTCAAAAGCTTTGTGACCATAATTTTTGCTATCTTCTGTAGTCTGAGTCCTATTTTAAATAAATTCTTCAAGTAACAGGGGGAAAAAATTATATGTAAAATATAAGAAGTCAAGACACAAGAAAAATACTAGATTTCCCTTTTCAAAGAAAGTCTTAGAATCTTACTTATAAATTGCAAAAATTTAAGTACCAGTCTATTATATCAAAAAAGGAATGTCAGAATCATTGTTATACATCTAGACCTAAAACACAATATGCCAATTATGTTCCAATTACAGAATAAAGAAATCTGTTTTAATCTGTAAATAAATTAAAAAATCTTTTTTCAACAATAACAGCTTATTTTAAATGGTTGAAAAACAAAAAAATTTAATCAAACATTTTAATTAAGGCAGCACTTTTCAAACAGCTCATTCATTTTTATCTTTTCAGTTATATTTCAAAATTGTATTCTATGTAAAGGAAACTATGCCTTTATTTTAAATCATAAAATTAAAAGTAAAAAATTAACTCCATAAAAATAAGAATGACTACATACCTATACTATTAGTGGAATTGCACCACATAAGCAGGAAACCAGTACATGTTAAGTTAATTACACCAAAGAGCAGTATCTTCCAGGACTGTGAAAAAGAAAATCAGTCTTCATTGTATAGCACTGATAAACTTTGCTAGGTCTGTTCAAGATACTATCATTCATATTCTGATATTCAAAGAAATAAGCACAAATTTCCATCAAAAAGTAGAAGTGTTGCACTTTCTAAGCCTGCCAAAATTATCATCAACCACATTATTATTAGAACATACAAATCTAAAAGAAAAATTCTAGAAGGGAATTCATACAAAAGCAATAATAAAAGAGATTTTTCAAATTCTGACATATAAAGTCTTAAATAATTTTGAGATACACACATATTTAAGTATCATTTTATCTCTATAAACATAAAAAAAGAGAAAGGAAATGTAGGGCAATTGAGGTACCTGAGTAAAGACAACCAGGGAGTTCCTTATACTAATCTTGCAACATTTTTATCATTTTTAAAGAAAGACAGAAATAAATAAATCCTTCTTGGGGGCCTCTCTGGTGGTAAAAGGGGTTGGAGCTCAGCACTTTGGGGCTGTCCACAGCCACTGCAGCATGAGTTCGATCCACAGGCAGGCAGCTAACCCACATGGAGCAGCAGATCTCTTCTGTCTCACTGATGCTCCCCACTCACTCTCTGGAATCCTCTCACCTCTTAGCACCTCTGGCCTACACCCCAGGTCTTGTATGTATAAATAAATAAATTTAAAAAAAAAAAGGAATGAAGGAAATTCTCTAGTCTAGTATCACAATATATGGCTAATATCATTAGCACTGCTTATTATTATGTTCCAATGATACCAGACTTATTGAAAACCACACGTATTTATTGAGTGTTCATTTTGTAGTTTCATATCTATATAAGAACTGAACAAAATAGTCACTCCCTTCAGTTTATGCAATTTAAATAATGAGAACAATGAAAATAAAGCAGTAATTTGTAAGTCTAATATGAACAACTGACATGTCTAACATTGACAACCAATTACACCTTTTAGTCTCAAAGCACATTTTTCCTGCCTTACACTGAAAATGAGAAAACATGAATTCATACTATATTCATTTAATATCTATAAATAAGACAGTCACAAAACACTTTTTCTTGAATACTATTTAGGATTAACTTTATATAATCTAGTTTTCTCCCAAGCATATAACTATATACAAAAATTCTATACTTGCACATTAAAAAATTACTTATGCACATAAAAGTGAAAATGGTATGGCAGAAATGAGAATGAATTCCTACTTGTCATAAAAATTACTTTTTTCAATGTTATGTTTGTGAAATGATTTAGGTTAAGGTTAAGATTAAAGAATAAAAATAACTCACCCTTCGGTCAGCTGCCACAAGTCTAAATTCCTGTAATAACTTGCCAAATAAAGATCTCTGTGGTTTTCGAAAGAGATGAATTGTCCCCTTAAAAAAAAAAAAAAGCACAAATTGGTATATAAGTATCTAACCTTCATACTTCCTGTAATGTGACATAGTAGTAATAACTAATGTTTACTGAATGTTCAACATCTACCAAGCACTTACTCTAGATAATTTATTGTTTATTTATTCAATACAAAAATCCAATCAAGTAGAAACAATTTTAAGTAAGTTGTCCATGGGCACAATACTGGTAAATTACTGAGCAGAAATTCAAACCCAAACATTTTAGTTTCAGACTACCACACTCTAATTTTGAATGGATGAGACAATTTCCAAACTAGGAAAGCATAGTTTGCCAAATGACCCCACTGAAAAGCAAACATAATTTACCTAATTAAAGCTTTATATGTGAAAGGCTTGGACTATTATAGTAAACTCTCTGGAGTTCTCTCTTAGGCATTCAAAATATTTGGTAATCTGGCTAGCCTCAGGGCCCCTGGCTGTACTTACAGAGAAAGGAGATGGCAGTGGGGTTACCAGTGACAAAAGAGACTGAGTGATGACTAAAGTGGGATTTACACCCAGTTCAGGAAGCCATGTGGGAAATATTTAACATAAAGGCTAGTTCAAGAACATATGGGAAATTTGTTTATGATTAAGGCAGTTTCCAACATCAGAGAGAAAATATGAGTTATTAAAAAAATGCCATTTGGAAAAAATAAATTTGGATGCTTACCATGTTTCTTAATCTTTTTGTTTTAAAATAAAATATTATAGAATACTTGAATAAACTGTATATATATAATTTTGAAATTGTAGAAGCCTTTTCTCAGTAGGCCATAAAGTCAAGATAGTTACAAAAGAAATAATCAATTTTAGCAAATAGTTTCATCTTGGGCATATAATACTCTACAAAAATAAAACAAGGGCCCTCCCTGGTGGTACGAGTTAAAGGGCACTATGAAACTCTCCAAAGCCACTGCAGCTCCAGTTTGATTCCTGGTCAGGGAGGTGACCCACATGATGTGACAGACCTCTCCTGACCAGCCCACTGTTCCCTTCAGCAGTACATTTTCAGTCAATCTGCCTGTTCTGCTCCCCACTCTGTCTCTGGTGAATCCTCTCACCCCCCGCACCTTTGTACCCCAGTTCTTGCATGCAAAAAAATAAATAAATCTTAAAAAAAATAATTCTGGAGAGCAAAGATAAATTGGAGGGGAAAAAGTTATTCCAAAAGCAAAGAAATCATTCCTAAGGGGTAAAACTCCTTCCTTCAAAAACTTCAACGGTTTATACACAGTAATTTGATTGTTAATGTAATTTAAATATTTGAATTTTAATTAAGAAAGTGTACTTCCTTAAATGGTAAAGGCTTCAACCATAACAAATATATTTCTATCTTACTAAAGTTGGCCAATTTGAGTTAAGCAATGAAGCGCCAAAAAACAATGGAAATAGGTGCTAAAAGATTAAAAATGCAAAAAATTTTCAGATCCAGTTTAAGCAGTTTTTTCTACAGTTAGCATTTAGGAAAACCTCAAAAGTTATAAAGAGGTATATCCCATTTCTTCAAAGATTAGACATGATGATACTCAGCTAAAGGAGAAAATAAAGCTGATCACTAAAAAACTGGCATTTTAGAAAAGCAGTTGTAGGCCCTCCCTGATGGTGCAGCAGGTTAGTTTAGGATGCAGCACTACAAGCTAGCTGTAGCTGCTTCAGTGTGAGTTTGACCCCCAGCCCCGGAGGTGATCCACGACCTCTTCTGACCCACTCATTGTTCCCTTCAGCAGTGAACTTCATCGATCAGCCTGTTCTGCTTCCCACTCTGTCTGGGTGAACTCTCTCAACCCCCTTCACCTTTGGCCTACACACAATTCTTGTATTTATAAAATAAATAAATCTTAGAATAAAAATTATATATGTGATATTTTGGTATCAAAGATAAATTTTGCTTAATACTGTTATTCTTATATATCTTCTAACTACCCCACTTAAAATTTTTTAATATATTTTTTAAAGATTTATTTATTTATGCATGCAAAAACTGAAGTAGAGGCCAGAGGTATGGGGGCGTGGGATGAAAGCATTCACCAGACAGAGTGGGTAGCAAAGTGGGCAGATTGACTGAAATACACTACTGAGAGGAGCAGTGGGCGGGTCAGGAGAGGTCTGCTGTGCCATGTGGGTCACCTCCCTGACTGGGGATCAAACTTGTGCTGTAGTGGCTACAGATAGCTTTATAGTACTTTGCTTTAACCAACTACAGCACCAGGTAGGGCCAAAATTTTTAACTATTTTAACTTTAGGTTAAGGCAATCAATAAAGTTCCTAAAGGCAGAGGGCCATTGTGGGGACATTCATTCCAACATTCATGTCACTCTTTCCAAAGTTACACTGGCACTCCACTGCTATCAGAACAGACTTCAAATTTTACAACCTGAAATTCAATGCTGATTCAGTAACTTAACGCCTGTTTCTTTTCAGTTTTATCTCATTCTAGATAGGAATCCTCACTTTCTGTTAAACTGAAGTACCCACTGTCAACTAATCAGAGAGAGTTAAAAGATCAGACTTGTCTAACATACATTTTGGTAGTCTTTCTTAGTAAGTTAATTGGCCTGTTTCCTCATGTCAGTAAAATATAAAGTAGGTTAATGTTAGAGGAAAGCACAAATTACTCAGTTGCATGTTTCACCTCCATGAAGCCATCTCAAATTATTCCAAGTTATGTTTTTTAACTTTTAAAAAGATTTATTTATGTATACAAGAAGTGGGGTACAGGTCAGAGATATTGGAGGTGAGAGGATTCACCAGAGACCGTGGGGGAGCAGAACAAGCACTCTACTGAAATACACTGCTGAGGGCAGCAGCAGGAAGGTCAGGAGCAGTCTGCTGCACCATGTGGCTATGTAGTTCCCTGGCCAGGGATGGAACTCATGCTGCTGAAGCTTAACCACTTGCACCACCTGAGCGGGCCCTCCAAGTTACGGTTTCTAATGCTACCTTCTCTATACTTTTAACTAGGGAATAGCCTTTCTGTCGTCATCTTAAATTGTAACTTACTTCTTTAACTTCACTAATGACAAGTTCTGTTTCCTTTATATTTCCCAAGACAGCTCTGCACATAGCGAGTTCTTAATAGTACATAATGGGTGACTCCTAAAGTCTTTCTTCCCAAAAGCTTTTAAAATAAATCTTAAGAGTCACTGTTTCCCTGTATCACTGATATTTGAAGTACTAAAACCGAGTGCAATTGTTACTAATCCAGTGATTTATAAAACAAGTATTTATTGAGAACGGTCCCTGGACTAGACACTACACAAGGCTCTGTGAATGCCAGAGAGAATACACAGATCCTTTCTCAAAGAACTTAGTCTAGAAAGTGAGGAAGAAAATTAAGTAAATATACAATGTTAACATAGTCTGGTAAGGACTTCAATGTTACTGGTAAAGAAGCACATAACAGGATCTTGAGACATGGCCTAAAGGCTCATTAACAGACTAAAGGACATATAAGAGTTATACTGAAAAAGGGCAGGATGTGTTGGGATGGAGAGGGTTCAGGCAGATAGAACATGTGTAAAGCACAAAACTCATTTTTAAAGCAGAATCTGTTGCTAACTATGTCTGGAATATGTATTTATGTGTAAGAGGTGACTAGCTAGAATGAACTTAATTTGGATGGCTTGGCATGCCACACTAAACAAGGTTTTGAGTTATGTGGGGAAACTGAAGGATTTTAAACAAAGAAATGGCAAGGTAAAGTTTTAGAAATTTAATGTGGTTACATAGTGACTGTTTGGAAGAATATAGCTGAAGACTCTCTGGCCAGTCTCCCAAAAGGAAACTTTTATTCACTTTCAGATTGTAAAAAAAAAAAAAAAGGACTGCAGAAAATGTACAAAAAATAAAGAAGGTATGTAGAACTTCTTTCTTTCTAACCATATCCATTTCAACAAGCCACTTATGAGAGTGACGATGACTTAGGCACAGAAATGGAAACTTTTCCTTCTAGGTAGGCTATAACTTAGAGATCAGTGGATTTTTCTGATAACGTGTACTTCTGAAACCTGGAAACCATCACCAATGGCTTATCTTGAGACAAAATTGAGAGACAACCTCTTGATTTCTAAAGGTGTTAAGTTGACTAATTCTTCTAACAAAGTTTAAATATCTCCAAACCCTAGGGCACAGGGTGATCTACAAACGCGGGGTGAGGGGAAGCCGCAAAAAGATGCTCTGCTCTCTCCAGTCATCGGCCTTCTGAAGTTGATGTTTTTAGGCTCCCTGTCACCCAGTAAAGCCGAGTCGCAGAGTGGGATGTCGGTCTCATGACTCGGGTCATAACCTTTTTATCTCCGCCGTTTAAGATTACGGCGGTATCTCCACTGTGGTAAGAATCACAATGACAATTACTGACCCGTTTGCGGATCTTTACTTGGGTTGTGGTCACCGACGCTGGCCAAGACTTTTATTTCTGTACGAAGGAGACCCCGGGAAGGGAGAAGTCATAAACTCGTCAGGACCTGAACGATGGGGCCGAAGCAGGGTCGGGATTCTCAACCGTAAAGGAAATCAGTGAGGGAGAGGGGACAAATCAGCTCTGAGGGGAATCTTTTTGGAAGCCAATTGCTTCTCCCGTGGGGCCCGACCACAAATCCGACGACCCCTTCTCCGAGCAGCTGGGGCATTCCAAAGCCAATTCGGCACAAGAGAAGTGCACAGAAGTCACCTATGACAGAAACCCTCATCCCCTCGACCCACTCACCATGATAAGTAGCGGCACTGCCCGCGCCGGAAGACGCTCTGCGAGCCGACGGCTCCCTAGAGCGGAAGGGGTGGGGCATCAGAAACTGATTGGCTGCAGACCACGCTGTTGCGGAAGTACGTGTTTGGCCTCCTGGTCCCGCCCCCCTTCCCTACCGCCCTTGCGTTCCATAGAGGGGAAGGTTGCGGTCAGAGCGGTTCTTTGATCCTTTCCTGGGTTAATTGGGTTGAGAGTCTAGGAGCCTTTGTCAAGGAGTAAGTGGAGTGCATGTGTAATGTTGGAAATACTTCTGTAAGTGATGAAAAGCTGTGAATTATATTGGGTGATTTAGTTTTTGCAAAATCTTGTGGCTAGTGTTCCCATTCTATAGACCAGGAAACATCAAGAAACATGCCCAGAGACGTTTGCGATAGCAGTTGAATTTGAACTTAACACCCATTAATTAGTACTGCATTATGCTTCCAAAACTGATACCTACATTCTCTAAATTATCGGTTTACTATAGAAACAATGTAGAAAACTTGCTCTCAAGCTGTGAGGACATGGCAAGGTGGCTTTTTGCAAGTCAACAGGATCTTTTACCAAAAACCACATGGACCACCTTGATCTTAGATTTTCCACCCTGCAAAACTCTGAAAGTAAATTTAAGTAGTTTAAGCCAACAATCTATAGTATCTTTGTTAGGGCAGCCCAAGCTGCCTAAGAGTTTGATACCAGGAAAAGGGCCCCTCCTATTTAAAACAGAAGAAAACTAATCTAAAATGTAGCAGTTTGCGCAGATTAGAGTGGAGTATTTAGAGGTATAATATGGTTGCACATGTGCTCATTGTTTTGGTGATCTAAGTATTTCAAGACCACCTCAGTGGAGAGAACTAGGGAAGATATATGTATGTGGATACATAGACAAGTGTAATCACATATTTTACTCCTTGACAAAGGCTTCTAGACTCTCAACCCAATTAACCCAGGAAAGGATCAAAGAACCGCTCTGACCGCAACCTTCCCCTCTATGGAACGCAAGGGCGGTAGGGAATACACTTTTTTTTTTTTAAGATTTATTTATTCATACAGAACTGGGGTACAGGCCAGAGATGCAGAGGGTGAGAGAACTCATCAGAGACAGAGTGGGGAGCAGAACAGGCAGGTCGTTGAAGTACACTGCTGAGGGGAGCAGTGGGCGGGCCAGGAGAGGTCTGCCACGCCATGTGGGTCACCTCTGGGACAAGCGGGGATAGAACTCATGCGGAAGTGCCTAAGCTTCTTAGTGCTGTGCTTTAACCCGCTGCACCACCAGGGAGGGTCTTTACGTTTATTTTAAATCATGAATTAATACTCAAATCCAATTCCAACCCAACACGATGGTCTTGGGCATCCCTGATGGCACTAGGGTTAAAGTCTCAGCGCTGTCAAGCTGGTGTATCTATTGAAGGGTGAGTTCAATGGGAGCTAACCCACTTGACACAGGTGGTACAGTCCAGATGTGCAGGGGGTGAGGATTTACCAGAGACATAGTGGGGACCAGAACAGGCATATCTTGACATACACTGCTGAGGGGAGCAGCGAGACAGGAGAGGTCTGCTGCCCTCTGTTGGTCACCTCCCTGTGAGGATGTAGTCATGCTTCAGTGGCTGCGGATAGCTTGATAGTTTGTGTCTTGAACTCTTGTGCCACCACGAAGGCCCCTCCATTTGGTTTTTAGTTTCTATTGCTCTACTAAAAGTCCGAATCTGCTCATCCATCACCCTTCTCTCTATCGCCCTCCCTTTATAAAGATGGCATTGATTCATAACACTGGATGATTTAGGGAAATAGGTTCACATCTCATATGTGTGTTATTACTTCACCCACAATGCAAGCACTGATAGTCCTTTACCACAGACTGTTGTGCACACTTCCTCCTTTGTTCCCACACCTTCCTTCTTCCCCATCAGGTAGCCTCAATTCTGCAGCCACAGCTTTTGCATCTATCATCTTTTCTCTTCCAGTAGATTATTTTTAAAAACTTCTCTAAAATATTTATTTACACATTGAACTGGGGTGTAGAGTAGAGGTGCAGGGGGTGAGAGGATTCACAAGAGTAGGGAGAACAGGTGTATCTACTGAAGTACACCGAGCGGAGCAGCTGGGGAAGACATGAGAAGTCTGCAGAGCATTGTAGGTCAGCTGCTGGACCTGGGATTCAGCTCAGCAGCAGCAGTAATAGCGTTATAGCACGAAAACTAAATCCTTGCGCCACCAGCGTGGTCCCATTTTAAAAGTTGTTTTAAGGTAACTATAATTCCAATATATAAATCATCTGTACATCTGCTTTGATGTGATTTTTTTTTATTATGAATAGTTTTTCTTTATATGCTTAGTAGTTAGTGTGTATTGGACTTTGGAGGCAAAATCTTGTAACTCTTGGATTGTTTTCTTCTAAAGAATGTTTTGTTCTAGTTAGCTGTTAAATTACTAATAGATGTCCCCAATGCTGTGCTAACTTGATTTTTAACTTTATTCTGGTAGTTTCTATCCATTTTGCCCACAGATCTAAAATACAACCTTTAGCTCTATCTAGCATTCCTCAATATGGCCCTTTTGGTTTTTGTTTTAAAAGATTTATTTACTATGCATACAAGAGGTGGATAGGCTAGGGGTGTAGGGTGAGGGTGAGAAGATTCACCAGAGACAGCAGAGGGAGCAGAACAGGTAGTTTGACTGAAATACACCGCTGAGGGGAGCAGCAGGCAAGACAAGAGAGGTCTGCTGGCTATGTGGGTCAGCTCCCTGGTGGGGGTCAGAACTCTCTGCTGCATTGGCTGCCATACCTTCTTAGTGCTGAGACTCAATCCCTTGCACCACTAGGGAGGCCCCCTTTCAGGGTTTTAATGGGAAACTTCAAGTGTATGTCAAACTCTTAGAGTTTGCATTTCAATCTCTGTTCCCCAGCAGCTGCCTTATCTGTAATCAGTTCCTGAGATTTCAATTACTGCTTTCTGCTAAGTTCCTTTATAGCATGGGGGCAGTTTGGGAATCCAAGAAGGATTTGAAAAGAATTAATAGGCACACTTTGGGGTTTCTATCTCTGAAGTGCTTTCCTTTCCAAAATTTCTTACTGATTTCCAGTGATTGAAGAAGCCCCAAATGATTCCTCAGCCCAGGAAGGAAATTACATTCTGCTAGAATTCTAGTTCAAAACACAATGTACAATCTGGAAATGGCATCTAGGGTAGAATTTAGTTCACGTGGATCCCTTCTAGTAGAAGGTTTTGTGTACTTCTGCCTGTTTTTGATAATTTTCTAGGTTCTTCTAGTTATTGCTTTTTATATTTTGTTTAGTGCTTATAATTGTTATTAGCAAGAATTAGTCTGATACAAGCTAGACCCTCATTACCAAACTACAACCATTGAAATCTCAAAAAGTTTTAAATAAAAGAATCTAAAGGCAAAATAAGTTTATCATTTATTTTCAGTCCATTAAGATACCAAACCCACTTTATGCAGCTGAATCTTTTAATTCAGTTCTTCTGAAGAAAAATACAAAAGACCAGATTAAAATCAAGACAAGCATTTAAAGAAAAATCCCTTGACTCAGAGTCCCAAAACTGTAAATGGTTCTTTCTACCAAAAGAATTAGTTTTTGTATAAAATATAAAGAATTTTACACTATAAACAAAGGCTGCTATACATTTGCTTAATTTGGAATTCTAGTGTCTGTTTTACCTCCAATTCTTCCCAATCACAAAGTGTATTTTTGCAAGTCAGAAACTGAATAATCCCAATGAGCAGACTGTTAGAATAAACACTTAAGCTATCTGGACAGAGAGTACTGATTCTTGCCCTTAAGCTCAAATCCAGTACATTGATTAAGTTTTAATTTGGTTTATAAACCTCTGACATATTAACACAAGGAATACACTAACGTTTTAATGTTTGCATTACCTTTTAAGAATAAGACACAGAGCTCAACACAAAATCTAGAAGGTCACGATCTATGTCTAACATTAGTTTGGAAAACCTCAGCAACTTCTATCTTTATTTAAAAAGACTAGGCCAATTCCTCACCACTTACTGTAACACTATGCTATTTCCTTGGTCATTCCTGAAAGAAACATAGATTAACATAAAAGCTGTCATAGTAAGTCACAGAAAATAGTTCTTCAGAACTTAGCTTAACTTCAGATTTAATCAGGAAAACAACTTCTATACATAATAAACATTTCAAACAGCAATATAATTCTTTGACTTAATGCTTATAACAATATTAACTTGGCTTTTTGTACCTTTTAACATTTAAGATCTTTATGATCTTAATCTAAAGATTAAAATTTTTAGATTTCAAGAGAACTAAAATCTTTCCCAATAAAAAATTGGAAGCAAGCTTCTAACTCATAATTAAATTATGAATTAAAATACTGCTGAAAATTTTAAGTATTTTAAGTTGACCTTGAAGTACACAAAATTTTAATACAACTGATTATCCATCCAAGTATTAACCATGACAATCCTTTTCTAAATGAAAATGAAAAATAAAATTTTTTTGAGGTTTATTTAAAAATGTCTTAATTTGGTATTTTTGTGATTCTTTTCATCACATTCATATGCCATCATCATTTTAATTAAAAAATATTTTATGATGCTTTGAGACCTTAAAAAGATACTACTTATGACCTAAAATACCCAAGATTCTAGTTCAAAATTTATTTTTTCTATTTATATTACTGTTCATTTTTATTATCCAGGGAGTTCAAAATCATGATTAGAAGATACATGACTTAATACAAACAACTTCTGATTTAAGTAATCATATTTTCTCTATGTAGATAAATTTTTAACAAGAGCAAGAATAAAATTAGGAATGTTTTCATTTAAAATCCTTATATAGTAGGGGCAAGCTTTTAATTTTAATGTAACCTCTCAAAAATCAAAGATTTTTTCCTAAATGAAAAATTTTTGTTAGTACTATAAAATTATTTCTTTCCACATCTGGCATTTTATGTAACATTATTTCAGCACCAAAGAAAATTTCTGTAAACAAACTTTAACCAGTAAACTAAGGGCAAATATCTATTTGCCTTTATTACGATATTTAAAAGGCCATATAAGCATCGCTACTTCCTACAATGACATTTTTACAATAAAAATCCAGGCATAGTCGTACAAACAAGAAGCAGAATTACTGTACATTTTTGGGGGAACAAAAGGTAGATTAATAGGCTAAAACTTTTTAGTTAACAAAGTGAGCACAAAAAAACTATAAAATACACAATGTATAAAAACAGTAATTTTAAAGTTTCATTTGAAGGGATTAATAATTATTGAGAATAAAAGACAGTAGCTTTACTGGCTTATAATTATCCTGTAAACAGTAAGAAAGTAATAAGCAATAAATTAGAAACATCTTAGCTCCCAGTACTTCCCTTATCTTGCAATGGAACCACTTTTACAGCATTTAAAGCTGTCTTTATTAAATATTAAAGTAATTCTTGCCCAAAACAAATTCCACTAGGAATAAGTTAACAGTCTACAATAGACAAATACACTAAAAAAAAAGAATACTGGTCACAAGAGGATTGATGGACATACTGGATGACACAGGAACTCAAACCTTCTATTTTACTACATTAGTTTTATAGCCATCATATTGCTTTCTAAATTGTTTGGAAGTAAGCTAATAGAAAAATAAAAAGTCAAAAGTACATAACTGTTTAACATCTGTAGGCTTATGAAGAAAAATAACTCTCAAATACCTTTTCATATTACTGCTACATAGAAAAAAATTTCGTTTGGCACACTGAATTTGTAAAAACAAAAGAGAAAAAAACAAAACAAAACAGTGTTTGGCTTTCATTTACCTGCAGGAAAGAGGAAAGTGGGGAAGGAAAAGAAAAGTATTACACTTAAGTAAAGATATCAGAAGACAAACAACCAAAGGCTCTTGTGTCTTCTAACATTTACTGTCTCTGGAATACGTTCATCTGCAACACAATATACAAATTATTATTTACATTATGATTATATTGGTAAAGAAGACCAGAAATAACTTTTGATGTACTCTAACAGTGCCCATTGGGGTAATCATGATCATCAAGGCAAGAAGCCCTTAAAAACAAAATATTCCATTTACATTATATTTTTATTCAAATTTGTTTTCTGGTTCATCTTGGGGTACACAAATATTATTTTAGACTCTGAGAAGTCCTGTAAACTTATGCTGAATTCTGTAGCTGATAACTATTCTTTGAGATGGTGATCTCTTGGAAAGTAAAATATTCTGTAAGCTTACAAAGGCATTTTGTTAAACAGTAGTGTCTCCAAAGTCCTTGTTCCAACGTATGTATGCTTCTAAAGTTTGAGGGCTCACACTGCGTTTTATCTTTTTCAAGGATTCAGTGAAGTCAGCTAATCGAATATTTCTCATCTAGATTAAAAAAATAATAATAAAAACAATGAACACATACATTAGTTAACCCAACAATGAACTGACAGATGTAATACTATTCTTTAGCAATGTTATACAGAGGTAGTGAATCCTCTCATGACCACTAGACCTCTGGCCTGTACCCCAGTTCAGTATGCATAAATAAATAAATATTTTAAAAAAATGTTTTACTGATATATATTACATGTTTAATTTCTTAGATTTCAACATTTCATTTTATTTATTTATTTTTGCATAAAAGAAGTGGCCTTAGGTGTAGGCCAGAGAGTGGAAGATGAGAAGATTCACCAGAGAGAGAGTGAGGAGCAGAACAGGCAGACTGACTGAGACACACCACTGAGGGGAGCAACAGGTGAGACAGGAAAGGTCTGCTGCATCATATGTGGGTCAGCTCCCTGGCCCTGGCCAGGGATTGAATTCAGGTAGAAGTGTGATAGTGCTGAAGTGCCTCACTGGTGGGGAAACTGGTTAAAGAGCCGCACTAGGAAGCTATCTGCAGCCACTGCAGCATGAGTTGGATGCCTGCCAGGGAGCTGGCCCACATGGCACAGTGCACCTCTCCTGTCTTGCCTGCTGCTCCCCTCAGCAGTGTATTTCAGTAGATCTGCCTGTTCTGCTCCCCACTCTGTCTCTGGGAATCCTCTCACCCACTGAACTTCTGGCCTGCATCTAGGTCTTCTACTCCAAAAAAAAAAAAAAAATTGTAAAACATTATACCTCACTGGCAGACATATTCTTCACTTGTTCTGGTTTCAGTTCTGTAAAATAGAAAAAGTAAGCCAGTTAGGAAAAAAAAAAAGATTTTGACATTTAAATTGGTGGGCAACAAAAACCAAAGGTACAGCTTCAATGTAATTAATTTATATTTAAAGAAAACACACACAAAATTAAGTGCACAATTTATGAATGCTTAGGGATAGTTCATCTTAGGAATAATGCAGGGGGATTCAATTCAGTTTTTTTGCATACTGCCTATTTTTTTACAAAATGGGGATGTGCTTTATAAAAGGCATTAATTAGTTTTTGTTTAACCTACAATGTTTGTCTGCCTCAGATTAATAGGTGAAAATACATGAGACTCATATATTGGCTGCCACTGTTTCTGAGTTCACTCCCTAAACTAGACTTTATTATGTTTTTGCAGCAGTTCTTTACACAGTAGCCTATTTCACTGTAAGTGATGGGTTCTGGAAGTTGCATGATCCATGTTCTATTGTATCATTACAATTAGTTTTCTCGGGGTATAATTAGGAATATCAACTACCCACTATGAACAGTCACTATAAGTATCTACTACAAAGCAATATTAGAGAATGTTTAATCCAATTCAACTTAAAAATTAGATGTGGTATTGGCCCTCCCTGGTGGCGCAGCGGGTTAAAGCATTGCACTGAGAAACTAAAGCCACTTCTGCATGAATTCGATTCCCGCCTGCCAGGGAGGTGACCACATGGCGCGGCAGACCTCTCCTGACCCCGCCCGCTGCTCCCCTCAGCAGTGTACTTCATCGATCTGCCTGTTCTGCTTCCCACTCTGTCTCTGGTGAATCCTCTCACCCTCCGCATCTCTGGCCTGTACCCCAGTTCTGTATGAATAAATAAATAAATCTTAAAAAAAAAAAAAAATTAGATGTGGTATTTCAGAAACAATAAAGTACCTTAAATCAAAAAAGTAATGAGTACTTTGCTACAATTCTCCAAAAGATATGTGACAATAAAAACAAAAATTTCTTTATCTAAGTTCCCTTAAACACAATTTCAATTGAAATACTGAAATGAAAAACCAAAATATAAGTTATTTTCATTTTTATTCATTTTTACTTGCTTCAAAAAATTTTTGTTTTTCATTATGAAGCTACTGGCAGCCACTACAGTAGGAGTTTGAGCCCCACCCAGGGAGCTGATCCACATGGCACACAGAATGCTCCTGTCTCACCTGCTGCTCCCCTCAGCAGTGTATTTCAGTAGATCTGCCTGCTCTGCACCTCACTCTGTCTCTGGTGATCCTCTCACTGCTCTGCACCCCTGGCCTACACCCCAGCTTATATGCATAAGTAAAAAAAATAAATAGATCTGGGCCCTCCCTGGTGGCACAATGGGTTAGGACATAGCATTGCAAGCTAGTGCAGCCACTTCAAGTTCAATCCCTGCCCCAGAAATGATCCACATGGGGCAGCAAATCTCTCCTGCATCGCCCCACCATTCCCCTGAGCAGTGTACTTCATAGATCTGCCTGTCCTGTTCCTCTGTCTCTGGTGAATCGTCTCATCGCCCCTGCACCTCTGGCCTGTACCCCAGTTCTGTATGCACAAATAAATAATCTTAAAAAAAAAAAAAGTTTGTTTTTCTGCTGATTACCTACTAACAGCAAGTGAAAGCTGCTAGAAAAGGGATCAGGGGCCCTCCCTGCTGGCACAATAGGTTAAAGCACAGCACTATGAAGCTAGTCACAGCCACTGTAGCATGAGCTTGATCCCTGGCCAGGGAGGTGACCCACATGGCCTGGCAGACTTATCCTGTCCCACCTACTGCTCCCCTCAGCAGTGTATTGCAGTCAATCCACCTGCTCTGCTGCCCACTCTATCTCTGGTGAATCCTCTCACCCCCATGCAACTCTGGCCTGAACTCCAGCTCTTGTATATAAAAATCTTTAAAAAAGAAAAGGGGTCACAGTCCAATATGACTCATGGACTGTCTTTATGTGGTCTATAAGCTATGAATGGTTTTATGTACCATTCATACAGTACCAGGGAAAAAATGCAGTAGAGAGTATCTGTGGCCCAGAAGCCTAAAATGTATGATATAAGCCCTTTCCAGAAAAGTTTGCTGATTTTAATGCTAAAAACTACCTTGTGTTGTTTCCGATGGTAGAGCATTATGATTTTTCAAACTATTTAAAAAGATCTCTCACAATGGACTTCTTAAAGTGATACAGAACTTCTAAAGTGGTGTAATAAATAACTCCGTTTCAGCCCTTTGTATACTTACCTCGGATAGGACCCAGTGCTGCGTCTTTTGCCAAAGCTGTGAGATCACTTCCTGAATATCCATCAGTCATTCTGAGGATGGTAAGAAGAAATAGCAAATTACTTTCATGTTTTCAGATTCAAAACTTCTATATAATAAGAGGGTAAAATCTAGTTTGTCTTATTAATTAGATATCTATGTGATTTGATTTTGAGGACATGAAAAGGTTCACAAAGAGTCTTTTGGTTCCTAATAATGCCTCAAATTTTCATCATTAAAATCATTGATCTACATTAAGGCATACTCTATCTCCAGGAGGTTCCTTTAAACTGTCAACACGTCGCCTGAAAAGCTAACACCTAGAAGCCATTGGTGACTACTAACATATCACCACAATTAATTCTTTATAGAAACTAGTCTTTATCTTGACAAAGAACACTGCCTCCATGGAATGAGGTCAAATCAAGATATATTCATGTAAATGTAGGACAGACAGGGAAAGGAAGGATCTGGGGTAGAAGACATCGGGAAAAAGAGGCACACCTGAATAGGATGCCACAGTGGAGAGTCCTGGGCAGCCAACAGATTACCAAAGAGAACTAAGAACTAGGGAGGCAAAGGGGAAGAGGGAAATAAAAGAGTGAAAAAAGCATTTACTTATCATGTTCCATGCCACATAACTAGAGATCAATCATTATTAGCAGAATTCTTTACTGGATGATAAAGGAGGAGCTCAACATTTTCAAATATTAATTTTTTCTTTTCTCATTGGTATTGGGAACTCATAAATTACTAGCTACTAACATACTTGTTGAATATTTTAAATAATTTTATGAGATTTTTTTCATTGACTAAAATTCATGAATGTATGAACTATACTCATTTCCTACTTATATATACCGCCCATAAAAATTTTAAAGGTAAAAGCTGAAAAATTATATATAGTGCAAAAGAACAAGCTTATATGAAGGCATCTGTGTTAGTGCAGCAGAGATATTTTAAATATTTAATATTACTTTCGTATCACTTAGAAGCTTTAATACATTTATACAAAGATAGTACCATCATCAGATATTTAAGTCAGGCTAATCTGACTTAAATACATAAGATAAGCAATAAGAAAAAAAGTAAAGGAAATAGAGGATGAGACAATAAAAGCTTTCTGATAAATGAATCAGTCATTTCTTAAATTTAAACAAAGCAGAGTATTAATTTTCTTTAAAAAAGGTTGTAATATTACCAAATTAAAGCACTCACCTAGCAAGTTGTGCTAGTTCTTTTTGGGTCAGTGGGCTTCCTTGTTTACATAACAAATTTTTAAGTAAAAGTAGTCTTGTCTGAAAAGAAATGTTAAATATTTATCAGTCCTGAGAATTAGCTCAATACAATACCCAGGAAACAGGTTCAGATTCTAACTCTCATTTATGAGCTGAATCATCTTTTATCACTTCACCTCTTAGAATCTCATTCCTGTCCTGTCAATGGATTTAAAATTACAGTCTTTATAAGAGTTTCTGAGAGAATTAAAGATACTCCAAGTAAAACTAAGGAAGTAATCAGGGACCTATCCATTGTTCCTCTCAGCAATGTACTTCAGTCAATTTGCTTGTTCTGTTCCCTACTCTCACTCCCTGCACCTGTAGCCTGTATCCCAGTTCTTGTATGTATAAATAAAATAAATCTTTAAGGAAAAAGAAAAGTCCTTTCTACCGCCCCAGAAGTTTGCTCATACCTCTCTTTGCAGTTAATCCCCACTTGTACCCTTAGCCTTAGCAGATCACTGGTATGCTTTATGTTTCTAAAAACTTGCCTCTTTTATATAGCAATTTACATCTGGTATTTTCAATCAATATTTTCAAGGTTCATCCATATATAGCATGTTTAACTAGCTCATTCCTTTTATTGTTTTAAATCCATTAAAGTTAGAGCCCTCTCTGGTGGTGCAATGGCTTAAGGCACAGCACCATGGAGCAATATGTAGCCATTGAAGCACAAGTTCAATCCCCAGCCAGGGAGGTGACCCACATGGGATGAGAGGCCTCTCCTCTCCCACCCACTGCTCTCCTCAGCAGTGCTTTTCAGCCTGTCTGCCTGTTCTGCTCCCTGCTCTGTCTATGGTAAATTCTTCCCGCTGCCCCACACCTCTGACCTATACTCCAATTTTTGTAATTTTTGTAAGTAATCTTAAACAAAAAAACCCCATTAAAGATATACCACATAAGTTTACCCATTAAACAACGGATAAATATTTTAGATTCTGTACAGTTTTGGGTTATTTTTCATAATGTTGCTATAAATATTCTTACACATTTTATTTCTGTTGAGTAGATTCTTAGGCATATTTAGTAAGTTCATGTTTATCTTTTTAAGAAACTGTCAGATTGTTTTTCAATGTAGCTGTACTGTGGCTTGGAAGACTCAATAATGTCAAGATGGTATTTCTTGTTTTTGCTTATTAAAAAATTCACACATAGGGGGCCCTCTCTGGTGGTGCAGCGGGTTAAAGCACTGCATTAAGAAGCTAAAGCCACTTCCGCATGAGTTCGATCCCCGCCTGCCCCGGAGGTGACCACATGGCGTGGCAGACCTCTCCT